TGGCCCCACCCTCCACCGCTGCCACCGCTGGTCACCATCTGCACAGCAATTGGCTGGGCGATCGGCCCCCGTTCTCACACCCATCTTGGCCTGGTGCCACCCGCTCACCTGCTCCACCATCCCTCCACAGTCCCACTCTTATTAGGGCCCATAGGGGCCAGCAGCAACTTCCACTGCCGCCCGCCCCCTGGTGGTCAGCGCACGTCATAGTGAGCAATTGAACTCCCTGTCTCCCGGTTGAGGGGACAATTTGCATATTAGCCTTTTATTATATAGGATGATGATGGACTGGGTTGTTATTAATGACCAAATGGATTCTATTAATGTACCAGTATATTATGACTTTTATGATCATTTTACTGTAAGGACTCTGTGTTCAAAAATCAGAGGGTGAACTGTGATGTTGTAATACAATAAGAAATATATTTTGGTCTTCATCGCCATTTCTTGGCACTGAGCAATAGAAAACCTTTGCGATTTTCTCAATAATAGCAGTGAGAGAAGCATCTTTTGTTATTCATAATAAGCCCCCTTTTAACCACACCTGAGTTTATGCTAATGAGGTGACTCCTGGGCCATGGGAGTTCCTTGCCAGAGGAACCAACTGTGTGGTTACAGGGTTGGAACTTTCAGCCCCACCCCCAACCACCAAGGGGTGTGGTCCTGCACATTAAGTTCAATGACAAATGGCCAAAGATTTAATCAATCGTGCCTATGTAATGCAACCCCCATAAAAACCTTAAATTACAGGGTTCAGAGGGTCCCCAGGTCTGTGAACATGCTGGGAGGGTGACAAGCCCCAACTATGTATGGAAGCTCTGTGTCCCCTCCCCATACCTGGTCTTATATATATATATATATCTTCCATTTGGCTGTTTCTAAGCTGTGCCCTTTATAATAAACCAGTTATGTAGAAAGTAAAATGTTTCCCTGAGTTGTGTGAGTCATTCTAGCAAATTATTGAACCCAAGGAGGGGGGCATAGGAACCCCCAGTTTATATTTGGTTGGTCAGAAGTGCAGGTGGCAACCTAGGATTTGCAACTGGTATCTGAAGTGGGGGGAGGAGCAGTCTTGTGAGATTGAGCCCTTAATCTGTGGATAAAGAATTGCTTGGTGGAAAACCCACACATTTGGTGTCAGAAGAGTTGTGAGCAGAGGAATAAAATGTTTCTTCATTTATAGTGTAATCAAATAATTGATGAAGAAACATTCTTCTTTATAGAAGAATCCCAGCTAATAAATGTAGAATGAATGAAAATAAAAAATAAAATCTCCATTTTGCAATCCCTCTGACAGTTAATTTGCATAAGGATATGCTGATTAGCCAATGGGAAGGGTAGCGGTCATACGCTAATTACCATGTTTCTCTTTTATTAGTGTAGATATCTTCCATTTGGCTGTTTCTAAGCTGTGCCCTTTATAATAAACCAGTTATGTAGAAAGTAAAATGTTTCCCTGAGTTGTGTGAGTCATTCTAGCAAATTATTGAACCCAAGGAGGGGGGCATAGGAACCCCCAGTTTATATTTGGTTGGTCAGAAGTGCAGGTGGCAACCTAGGACTTGCAACTGGTATCTGAAGTGGGGGGAGGGGCAGTCTTGTGAGATTGAGCCCTTAATCTGTGGATAAAGAATTGCTTGGTGGAAAACCCACACATTTGGTGTCAGAAGAGTTGTGAGCAGAGGAATAAAATGTTTCTTCATTTATAGTGTAATCAAATAATTGATGAAGAAACATTCTTCTTTATAGAAGAATCCCAGCTAATAAATGTAGAATGAATGAAAATAAAAAATAAAATCTCCATTTTGCAATCCCTAATAAACAATGGCTATAGGGAATGATCATCAATGGCTATTAAAATTCTTAAGTGAAAGATAAATGAGAAACTAGCATATATGAATCAGAGAGACAACATTTGGACCTGTGGTAGGCAGTTAGATAGACATGAGCAGGGCTCTGTGAGGGAAGGGGCTGCACAGGGGCAATTTTTAAACCAGCTTTGAATCAGAGCAGGATTCGCAGAATCTGCAGGTATCTGCAAGGAGAGGTTTACAGTCCTGCACTGTGGGCCTCTGGCACATTTTTCTGGATCCCATCTGGGCTTTGGCTTTTCACATGGGGATACTTATGGTATCTACAACCATTCTTGGTGTTAGGCACAATCCTACACCATTTGGTTGGTTGTCTCACTGCATCCTTACAACTGGGGAAAACTAGACACGGATAGTTGCCTGCCTGGTCATTCACTTGTCTTTTTTGGAAAAGTTCCACAAAGTTTTAAAGGACACCTTGAAAAAAAGGGGAGTCTTAGAGTATTTAAAAGTGAGAATTCGGAGCACCAAAGCCCCACTGAAGCAAGTCTTGCCCCGGAGGGTTTTTCCAGGCACAGAAGTTCTCCCACTGCAGACACAGCTGATTCTCACAGCCAATTGGCCTGGAGGTCAATTCCTCCCAGTGATAACTACAACAATCAAGGCTTAATTACAACAAGACTGTGCACAAAGCCCACAAGGGGGTGCACCAAGAGTGTCTACCTCAGGTAATTGGGACACTTAGCACAGAAAGGCACTCTATCGACACAGCGAAGCATAAAAAATGCCGAGACAAAGAAACAGGACACAAACGACAGAATTGGAGGAAAGCAAACTGTTGGATATAGAGTTCAAAACCACACTTTTAAGGTCTCTCAAGAACTGTCTAGAAGCCGCTGATAAATTTAGTAAGGCCCTTGAAAAGACTGGTGAGACCGCCGATAAATGTAGTGAGATCCTCAAG